ATATACAGAAAGAGAGAAATCTTAGGAAAATAGCTCACACACTTATAGAAGCTGGTAAGTCCCAAGTTCTTGGATCAAACGTCAAGCTGGAAGCTTTTCCTGACTCACACAGCTGCATGGGCTGATGAGCTCAAGGTTGGCAGGCAGTATACCAGCTGTTGACTCCAAAGAATGAAGAATCTAAGATCTCCAGGCTGAATGGTGGATTGTTCACTCACGGACAGTTGTAGGCAGCACAACAGGATCTCAATCCACAGAAGAGTGTCTCTTTTCCCAGGACGTCCATAAATATATTGGAAGCAGGCCACACCCTAAGGAAACTCCCTTTCAACTGATTGGCTGCTCACAACATATACATCCAATATATCATGGGAATAACCCACATCACAACTGCTTAAACCACTCAGAATTGTGGTGCAGCCAAGTTGACACACAGCTCCAACTATCACAGGCTTTCTTCCTGCTTCCTTCTTATGGTTACATTTTCCCTGTGTCTTTCTTTTTGTACCTCTTATGCACCTCCCCATGTCTTCCTTTTCCTTAGTGTTATTGTGCAGGTTGCCCTCTTTTGGTATATTGACTTTCCATTCTCCCAAATCATTATGTGTCTCTTACCTAGCTGGCATTATTCCCTCCTCTCCCCTTCCCTTTGGTCCTGGTAACCAACAAAGAAAGCTTCCTTCCATGTGTAATTCTTTCCTTGACTTTTTATGATAGTGGACTCATACAGTATTTGTTCTCCAGTGATTGACTTATTTCACTCAGCATAATATCCTCCATGTTCATCCATGTTGTGAGGTGTTTCATGGAGTCTTCGTTATTCTTTTTTTTTATTTTTTTAGTCTTCATTATTCTTTAATGTTGCATAGTATTCTATTGTGTGTACGTACCATAGTTTGATTTTCCATCCATCCACTGATGAGCACTTAGGTTATTTCCAACTCTTTGCTATTTGGAATAATGCTGCATTGAATACAGGTGTGTATATACCTATTTGTGTCCCAGATCTCACTTCTTTAGGATATATACTTAGCAGTGGGATTGCTGGATAAAATGGTATTTCTATTTCTAACTTTTTGAGGATGTTCCTTACCATTTTCCACAGTGGATGTACCATTTTACAGTCCTATCAGCAGTGTAGGAGAGTTCCAATCTCTCTGTACCATTGCTAGCATTTGTTATTTTCTGTCTTACTGGACTTTGGTATTCTTGCAGGAGTGAGATGATAATGTTGTTTTGATTTGCATCTCTCTAATGGCTGATGATAGTGAGCATTTCTTCATGTTGTTTGTAGGCTGCCCGACTATCTTCTTTGGTGAAGTGTCTGTTCATGTCCCCTGCCCATTTTTTAATTGGGTTGTTTGTCTTTTTGATGCTGAGGTGTTAAAGTTTTCTATAAATTTTAGATATAAGTCCTTTGTTGGATATGTTGTTGCGAAATATGTTTTCCCAATCTATATGTTCTCTTTTTACTCTTTTGGAGAAGTCTTTTGATGCACATAAGGATTTAATTTTTAGAAGGTTCTAGTCATCTACTTTATCTTCTACTGTTTGTGTAGTAGCTCTGGTAGTGTAGTGCCTAAGGCACTTGACTGCTAACCAGAAAGAAGGCTGGCAGTTCAAACCCACTAGCCACTCTTCAGAAGGAAGGTTGGGCAATCTACTTCCATGGTGATGCTGCCTCGGAAACCCATGGAGGGGTCGCTATGAGTCAGGTCTGACTCGAGGGCACATAACAACCACAACAAACAACAACTGTTTGTGCATGATTGATTATGTTTAATAATCTATTTATGCCATCAATTAAAGCCCATATGTTTGCCTGTATTTTTCATTGATGAACTTTATAATTTTAGGTTTTACATTTAGGTTTTTGATCCATCTTGAGTTAATTTTTGTGTAGGGTGTGATGTATGGATCTTGTTTCATTTTTCTGGAAATCAATATCCAGTTTTTTCAGCACTATTTGTTAAAGAGATTATCTCTTCTCCGTTTAATGGATTCTAGCTCTTTGTCAAAGATTAAATGACCATAGGTCGATGGATCTATTTTTGTGTTCTCAATTCTGTTCCATTGGTCTGTGTGTCTGTTATTGTACCAATACCAGTCTGTTTTGACTACTGTGGCAGTGTAGTAGCTTTTGAGATTGGGGAGTGCGAGACTTCAAGTTTGTTCTTCTTCAATGGTGCTTTTCTCATCCAAATTCTTTTTCCTTTCCATATAAATTTAGTGATTATTTTTTCCATATCCTTAAAGAATATTGAATTTGGGAGTATCCCATTCTTTTCTTAGTTCTGGAATAGTTTGAGTAGTATTGGTGTCAGCTTTTCTCTGAATGTTTGGTGATTTCTCCAGTGAAACCATCTGGGCCAGGATTTCTTTGTTGATAGTTTTTTTTAATGACCTGTTCAATTTATTATTTTGTTATGAGTCTGTTCAATGTATCTGCCTCAGTCTGAGTTAGTTTAGGTAAGATGTGTGTTTCTAGAAATTTTCCATTTCATCTATATTTTTTAATTTTTTGGCATACACATCTTTATAGTATTCAGATATTATCATTTTTATTTTGGTTGGTTCTGTTGTAACATCACCTATTTCATTTATTATTCATGTTATTTGCATCTTTTTTTCTTATGTTAAATTTGCTAGTGGTTTGTTAATTTTGTTCATCTTTTAGAAGAACCAGCTTCTAATCTTGTTAATATTTTTTTATTTTGTTTTCTGTTTCATTTCTGCTCTGAACTTTACTATTTTCATTCTTCTGGAGACTGTAGGCTTCTTTTGTTACTGTTTTTCTAATTGTGAAGTTATTGGTGTAAGGTATTGATTCTGGTTTTCTCTTCTTTATTAATTTGTGCTTTTATTGCTATAAATTGACCTCTGAATACT